TAAATGGGTACCGGGGTGTTACCCGACTGGTGGGGGTGTTATCCGGGACACTGACCTATTTTTGCTTGAAATACTCTGCTAACAAGGGCTTTCTATGTAGTAGTATGTCACTGATGTCAGCTGGGCCTGTACCCCCGTACGTTGTGTAGTAAATTATTATTATTATTATTATTTTAAGTGGCCCCCCGGTTTAAACAATTTTTTTTTATTCCGAAGTAGTTCAGGTGAGTATGACCAAATTTTGCCCCAAAAGAATTTGTGAAGAAATTAGCCATTTCAGCCCCCCCAAACATACACTACAAAGCACTTACAAAATCATTCATATGAAATTTGGTCGTTTGGGGAGGGATCTTTAAAGCGGGGGTCCATTTATTATTATTATTATTGTTGTTGTTGTTGTGTTGTTTTCTAAATTGTTTGTTGGGTTTTTTATTGAAACTTGGGCAATGTATGAGGAAAGATACTTCTTAAGTACACCAAAAATGAAAAAATCAACCATAAATTGCGGAGTTCACTTCTCAGCCCTAGGGGCGCTTGCGGTTATTTTGCTGTTTTTTGATAACATTCTTTTTTTTTTTGGGTCTCATTTGATAAATGGAAGATATATTACAAAATGATATGATTTTGATTGTTTCAATGAAAAGTACCTTAATTTTGCGGTCACAGTAGAGAAAGTTCTATTCTTTAGCGATGTTCGAGTAAAAAAATGTGTCACCGTCCATACTTGTCCGCTTGCCAGCCCAAAATTCCCAATATGAAGTAAAATGGGTTACATTATTTATACAATTATTACAAAATGCAGTAGTCTCCCTAATGTAAATCTATTTTTTTGTGTGAATAAAAATTCCAAAGGGAAAGCAAGAGTAATATAAAGGGGCCGGGGGCCATGATAATGAACTAGAAAATGTTTTTTTTAGTGCCGGAATGTCTGCATTGTTATTCTGGACCCTATTTTGAAATTGGCTCTGTGAAATGGCCAAATTCCCAATTTCGACACTTTATTGGGTAGTTGAAATAGGTGAATGGGCGGTTTCTTGTATCAGTCGCAGACAAAAGTTTAAATAAGTTTATTGGTATTACAAAAATACAGTTCAAGATTTCAAAATAGCAGCATATGTGTATAGAACCGGGAAAACCCCAAAAAAGTAAGACAAAGTGACTTACCCTAGTACCTGGCATGGGTTGCCATGATTTTTTGGTAAATATTGTTTTTTCCAGTTTTTGTTGGGCTTTCATTGAAACTTTGGGGAAAAGTTGATGGAAAAAAATGTTCTTAACATACACCAAAAATAAAAAAAACGGACGTAAATAAGGGGGGTTCACTTCCCCAGCCCTTGCCGTCTCTTTGTGGGAATTTTGTATGGTTTTTTGGGGGTTTTCTTTTTTTTTGGTCTCATTTATGAAGGAAGATTATTCAAAATAGCTGATTTTTATTGCTTTCATGATAAAAGTACCTTGAAATTGACTCAAAGTAGTGGGAAATGTTGAATTTTGCGATTTCAATGAACTTTGTGTAAGTCAAGTTTGGGTTTTTTTATTAAGTGTATTCTAACCTAACCACTCTGTAATCTGGCACATACAGGTTTCCCCAATGATGCCGGATTTGTGATGGAGGATCTGTAAGCAGAATGCCGTAAAGGGGGGGCCCTACTGTACATAATGAACTTACAAAGCATTCAACAACTTAGACCTGTTCTGTTTGCAGATGACAACCTTAGTTATTCTTTTTTTTTTTTTTAATTACTGGCGTATCCCACTGAAGCAGGGGTTTTCTAAAAAAAAAAAAAAAAGTCCTCTCTCCCCAAATGTAGTAAATTTTTACAGGAGAGGCATTACTAGCCCTTAGCTATAAACTTTTCTGTGTCTACCCAAATCCGAAATTTTCTCAATGACTATTTAATGAAACCAAAGATATCTACCAGGAGACAAATTTAACATTGATAAACCCTTAACATAAAGTTTGGGAACGGGCTGCAAATATTAAATAAAACGTTTTGATTAAATCTTTTAGGGTTTCGGAATACTATAGGCATAGCACCCGGGGTTTTTTATGTACTATACGCCTAAAATTTTAGCGCCCCCAAATCTGGGAGAACGCTGGTGGCCAAATTTAAAGAATGGGTCTTGTGGGAGTGTGCGCAGATAAAAAAAAAACCTGCAGCACACAGTGGTAATGGAGAAAAAAAAAAATTTGACCATGATTTTGGATTAAAAAAAGGCTTTTTCACTGTATTTTCATATGGTATATTGTTGGATTCTAGTTTTCCTGGGCTATTTTTAGAAGGAAGAATAATACAGAAATTGAGGGGGATTTTGACTGGTTTTACGTGAAAAGTACCCTTTAAATTGAGTCAAGTGAGAAAGTTCGATTTTTTCCAAAGTTCAAAAATAAACAAATCATGCCAAGCGTCCCAAAAACTCAAATGGTGGTCTAATATTCTTTCACAAATGCCTGAATTTATTTATACCATTTCTACACTTTAAAGCAAAGTCTGCTAACAGTAAATCTTCTTTTTTTGCGAGAATAAAAATTTAAAAATGGAAAGAAAAGAAGTAAAGGGGGGTGGGACATGTAATGACAGAGGAAAGTTATTCTGTGCAGGAAAGTCTTTTTTGCTTATTGGACCCTATTTGGGAAAAATTTGGCCCCTCTTTTGAAAATTTTGTGAAATTTTGGAAAAAATTTGCAAATTCTGACCACTTTATTGGATAGTTAAATCGGGAAATGGGTGGTTTTTGTACTCATTCGATAGAAAAAAAATGGAGTTCTAGTGGAATAGTTATGATTTTTGTCGACTATACCTGGAAATTGGCCCAAAATAGGGCTCAAAGTGAGCAAAATTGCTGATGCGTAAACATCGTCGATACCGCTAACTTCGCGAGAGCATAATTCCATAAGTTTTCCATCAAATTTCATACTTTTGGTGTCATTATGATTGGGAAAAGATTCTCTATATTTTCATAAGAAAAAATAATTTTTTTTTTTTGAAAATTTGGCGACCCTGAGAACAAGTCTCGGAGAGGGCCTGGCGACCCTGAAAGGGTTAAACCAAGGTAGTAGGTTGGTATACAGCAACCGCCTAAGGAAGTGCTACTGTCCTGCCAAGCGAGTATAAAACGAAAGCCTGTTATTGTTTTACATGATGGTAGGATTGCTGGTGTCTTTTTTCTGTCTCATAAACATGCAAGATTTCAGGTATGTCTTGCTGCTTCTACTTACACTTAGGTCACACTACACATGCATGTACAAGAATATATATACACACCCCTCTGGGTTTTCTGCTATTTTCTTTCTAGTTCTTGTTCTTGTTTATTTCCTCTTGTCTCCATGGGGAAGTGGAGCAGAATTCTTCCTCCGTAAGCCATGCGTGTTGTAAGAGGCGACTGAAATGCCGGGAGCAAGGGGCTAGTAACCCCTTCTGTATATATTACTAAATTTGAAAGGAGAAACTTTTGTTTTTCCTTTTGGGCCACCCCACCTCAGTGGGATACGACTGGTACGTTGAAAGAAGAAAGAAGAAGATCTCTATGGGGAAGTGGAACAGAATTCTTCCTCCGTAAGCCATGCGCGTTGTAAGAGGTGACTAAAATGCTGGGAGTAAGTGACTAGTAACTCTTTCTCTTGTATACATTACTACAGTTAAAAAGAGAAACTCTTGTTTTTCTTTTTGGGCCAACCTGCTTCAGTGGGATAGGGCCGGTTTGTTGAAAGAAGATATGACTAACGGTTCTTCCACTGCAAGACAAAATGAAAGAAAATTCTTAGGTCTGTACCTTGACAGTATCCCGAAATTTAACATGGTGACATTACACCATGGTTGTTTAGTATATTTACAGATGGGGTTGTAAAAGAAGTAAATGCTAGGGTGTATGGGGAATCAAATACAGAATGGGAGTTGACACAGTTACTTTTTGCTGATGATACTGTGGTTATGGGAGATTCTAAAGAAAAGTTGCAAAGGTTAGTGGATGAGTTTGGGAGGGTGTGTAAAGGTAGAAAGTTGAAAGTGAACATAGATAAGAGTAAAGTGATGAGGGTATCAAATGATTAAGATAAAGAAAAATTGGATATCACATTGGAGAGAGGGAGTATGCAAGAAGTGAATGTTTTCAGATATTTGGGAGTTGATGTGTCAGCAGATGGGTTTATGACGGATGAGGTTAACCATAGAACTGATAAAGGAAAAAAGGCGAGTGGTGCGTTGAGGTATAGGTGGAGACAAAAAACGTTATCTATGGAGCCAAAGAAGGGAATGTATGAAAGTATAGTGGAACCAACTCTCTTATATGGGTGTGAAGCTTGAGTTGTAAATGTTGCAGCAAGGAGATGGTTGGAGGCAGTAGAGATGTCCTGTCTAAGAGCAGTGTGTGGTGTAAATATTATGCAGAAAAATCTGGAGTGTGGAAATTAGGAGAAGGTGTAGAATTAATAAAAGTATTAGTCAGAGGGCAGAAAAGGGGTTGTTGAGGTGGTTTGGTCATTTAGAGAGAATGAAACAAAGTAGAATGACATGGAGAGTATAAATTTGTAGGGAAAGGAAGGTGGGGTAGGTGTCATCCTTGAAAAGGTTGGAGGGAGGGGGTAAAGGAGGTTTTGTGGGCGAGTGGCTTGGACTTCCAGCAAGCATGTGTGAGCGTGTTAGATAGGAGTGAATGGAGACGGACGGTTTTTGGGACCTGATGAGCTGTTGGAGTATGAGTAGGGTAATATTTAGTGAAGGGATTCAGGGAAACTGGTTATTTTTATATAACCGGATTGAGTTCTGGAAATGGGAAGTACAATGCCTGCACTTTAACCCTTTCAGGGTTTCGGATGTACTAGTACGGCTTACGCACCAGGGTTTTTGACGCTAGTACACCTAAATTCTAGTGCCCTCAAATCTAGTAAGGGAAAGCTGGTAGGCCTACATATGAAAGAATGGGTCTATGTGGTCAGTGTGCACAGTACAAAAAAAAATCTTGCAGCACACAGTGCATAATGAGAAAAAAAAAACTTTGACCATGTTTTTGGATTAAAACAGCGACTTTGCACTGTATTTTTTGTATGGTATTTATTGTTGTATTCTAGTTTTCCTTGTCTCATTTTATAGAATGGAAGACATATTACAGAAATTGAGATGATTTTGACTGGTTTTACAATGAAAAGTACCTTGAAATTGAGCTCAAAGTAGCAGAAATGTTCGATTTTTACCAAAGTTCAAAAGTAAACAAATCATGCCAAGCGTCCAATACACATCAACTGGTGAGTCTAATATTCTTTCACAAGTGCGCCAATAATATTTATACCATTTCTACACTAATGCAGTAGTTTGCATAACAGTAAATCTTCTATTTTTTGCGAGAATAAAAATTCAAAGTGGAAAGCAAAAAAATGTAAGAGGGGCGTGGGGACATGACTAATAAACAGAGGAAATGTTATTTTAGCGCCAGGAATGTCTTTCTTGTTTATTCTGGACCCTATTCGGAAACTGGCATCTTTTGAAATTTGTGTGAAATTGGCAAAATTGCTAAATTCTGACCACTTTATTGGATAGTTGAAATCAGTAAATGGGTGGTTTCTTGTACTCATTCGATAGAAAAAATGGAGTTCTAGCGAAATAGTTATGTTTTTGTTGACTAGTAAGTAAGTAAGTAAGTTTATTCAGGTATACACAAATACAGTTACATAGAATTATCATACATAGCAGCATATGTGTAGAGAACCTAGGATAACCAAAAAAGTCAGACAGAGTGACTTATTGGCTGAAAATAGGGCTCAAAGTGGGCAAAATTGCCAATGCGCAATCATCGTCGAGACCGCCGACTTTGCGAGAGCATAATTCCATAAGTTTTCCATCAAATTTCATACTTTTGGTGTCATTATGATCAGGAAAAGATTCTCAGAGTATCTTTTCATAAGAAAAAATAATTTTTTTTTTAAAATTTGGCAACCCTGAGAACAAGTCTCGGAGAGGGCCTGGCGACCCTGAAAGGGTTAAAAGAGGGGTTTGGGATACTGGCAGTTTGGAAGGATATGTTATATATGTTTATATATGCTTCTAAACTGTTGTATCTGGGCGCTTCTGCAAAAACAGTGATTATGTATGAGCGAGGTGAAAGTGTTGAACAATGAAAGTACAGTGGACCCCCGGTTAACGAACTTTTTTCATTCCAGTAGTATGTTCAGGTGGCAGTACTGACCGAATTTTTTCCCATAAGAAATATTGTGAAGTAGATTAGTCCATTTCAGACCCCCAAACATACACGTACAAACGCACTTACATAAATACACTTACATAATTGGTCGCATTTGGAGGTGATCGTTAAGCGGGGGTCCACTGTATTTTCTTTTTGGGAATTTTCTTTCTTTTTGGGTCACCCTGCCTCGGTGGGAGATGGCCGACTTGTTGAAAAAAAAAAAATTAGCACATAATAAAGAAGTATCCAAATCAATTGGCAACCCCTCCAAGATACATTGCTATGTATCTCAAACAGCACTACTGTACTGTACTTACACTATGCTTCTCTAATCTATCCTTACCTCACCTATGCTATTTGTGTATGGGGATCCACTACAGCCAATCACCTAAAGCCAGGCAAAACGCTCCCTCAATCTTCAAAAGTTTAAACTTACTACAGTGGACCCTCCCTTTTTGTCGATTACTGTTATTGCCGATTTCCGTTTTCGTAGACTTTTCTCGTCATTATTTTGGTTCCGTTTTCGTCGATTTCCTCCGTTTTCATCGCTGGTACGGAACCTGTCCAGTGCCAGCACACAGACAAACCCGTCTCCCACACGCATTCTCAGGCAGTGTCGTGTTGTTTCTTGGTGAGTGAACATATCCTGCCAGGTCATACGAAACATTTCGTAATAATCCATTGTTTTTGGCACTTGTTTATTATGTGTGACTGCTAAATAAGCCACCATGGGCCCAAAAAAAGCTTCTAGTGCCAGCCCTTTGGTAAAGAATGTGAGAAACATGATATAATTCAAGAAAAAGTTAGAAGAAAAATACGAAAATGGTGGTGGTAGAGGGTGGTAGTGATGGTGGTAGAAGGTGGTAGTGATGATGGTAGAAGGTGGTAGTGATGGTGGTAGAAGGTGGTAGTGATGGTGGTAGTGGTGGTGGTAGAGGGTAGTAGTGGTTGTGATGGTGGGAGAGGGTAGTAGTGATGGTGGTAGAGGGTGGTAGTGATTGTGATGGTGGTAGAGGGTGCCTTCTTCAGTGATTCTAACTACTCCAATGTTCTTGGAGTTAAATATGGCTACAGAAAACACCACCGCCTCAGCTGCAGCCTTCACCACCATTAAGTACAGCTTATGTTCTCAGTGCCCCTTATACACTCAACAACCACAACAGAACACCAGTCGTGACATTCATGATGACTTATTTTATTCATTCTAGAGTACATGTCATGCTTCTATGTTATTAATAATGTTTATTATGTCATATTAGTTGAGTTGTGATAGATAAATAAGCCGTAGAGTTGATATTAGTGCCATATTCTCCAACAATAAACTCATCTCCCTCTCCCCTCTGCCTGGTCTGCCACATACCAACAAGAGTCTTCAATAAAGGTAAGTGTGATGTTAAATGTTCATTTATACATTTTATTAGTGCTTTATATTTATCTGTCATTCTTTTCTGCATGTAAATCTATATTTAAGCTAGGGAAGTGACTCCTGATAAGGACTTGGTATCTAGAGTCCTTAAGGAAGGGGATTCCCCTCCCAAACAATAAACTCTCTTCCCTCTCCCATCCTCCCTGTCTTCCATCCATCAACAACAGCTTTCAATAAAGGTAAATGGGATGTTTGAATGTTCATTCTTTTGTGCATGCAAATCTATCTTTAAGGTAATTGGATTTACATTATTTCTTATGGGGAAAATGGGTTCCGTTTTCGCCGATTGCTCTGGAACGGATTAAACACGAAAACCGAGGGTCCACTGTACGTATATATGTAATATTCACTTATACTAATGTGAATACTACAAATACAGGACAATCAATTCTAATATTAACCCTGCCCTGAAACTCTCTAGATAGCTACATCAAGAACTCAGTCATAACACTAGACAAAAATCTAGATGATACTCCATGTGTCCAACTCAACCTGTGTTAAAACTCAATGTGCAGAAAAAGACCTAAAATCTGGAATTCTTTTCCTGAAGATCCAGATGTTCCCTGTATACCAATCACTTCCAAGCTACTGTTAAAATGCACCTCCTTACCTTAATGTGATGTTGACAACAATTTTTTTATGCCAAACAAATCATGAATCCTTGTTTTTTCATCCAGTACTTTTCCCTATTCTGTTTCATCTTTCCTTCAACTTTCATATATTACCAGATAGGCAAGTACTATCTCATCATATTTTACATCAATTCAGGTATTTAGCTTCACTCTCATTTTTAATTTTTATTTATTATAAATTATGAAACAATTTTAATATACTATATAAGCATTCTCATCTTCATGTATCTTGCTATGATTTTTCTGCTTCATATGCATTTAAGGTATTCTCACTGACTATTTTATTTTGAATATCATTGTTTTATACACATACAGTGGACCCCCGCATACCGTTGGCCTTACATAACGTTAAATCCGCATACCGATACATTTTATCGCTAAGATTTTGCCTCGCATACCGCTAAAAAACCTGCTCAACGCTGTTCGTCCGAGACACGTCTATGTGAGGCCTGAGCCAGCCTCACATGTTCCGCCGGTGGCATTGTTTACAAGCCAGCCTCTGCGGTAACATCCAAGCATACAATCGTAACATTTCGTATTATTACAGTGTTTTTGGTGATTTTATCTGCAAAATAAGTGACCATGGGCCCCACGAAAGCTTCTAGTGCCAACCCTGTGGTAAAAAGGGTGAGAAATATTATCAAAATACTGTGGTACCATGGTCAACTGCTGATGCTGCTACTGCTGCTGCTGCTGTAGCACTGTCAGCTGCTACTGCTGTAGCACCGTCAGCTGCTGCTGCTGCTGTACCACCGTCAGCTGCTGCTGCTGCTGTACCACCGTCTGCTGCTGCTGCTGTTGTAGTACCGTCTGCTGCTGCTGTAGTACCGTCTGCTGCTGCTGTAGCATCATCTGCTGCTGCTGTAGCATCGTCTGCTGCTGCTGTAGCACTGTCAGCTGCTGCTGCTGCACTGTCAGCTGCTGCTGCTGTAGCACTGTCAGCTGCTGCTGCTGCTGTAGCACCGTCAGCTGCTGCTGCTGCTGTACCACCGTCAGCTGCTGCTGCTGCTGCTGTTGTAGTACCGTCTGCTGCTGCTGTAGCATTGTCTGCTGCTGCTGTAGCACTGTCAGCTGCTGGTGCTGCTGTAGCACTGTCAGCTGCTGCTGCTGCTGCTGCTGTACCACCATCAGCTGCTTCTGCTGCTGCTGTAGTACCATCTGCTGCTGCTGCTGTAGTACCGTCTGCTGCTGCTGTAGCATCATCTGCTGCTGCTGTAGCACTGTCAGCTGCTGCTGCTGCTGCTGCTGTAGCACTGTCAGCTGCTGCTGTTGCTGCTGTAGCACTGTCAGCTGCTGCTGCTGTAGCACTGTCAGCTGCTGCTGCTGCTGCTGTAGCACTGTCAGCTGCTGCTGCTGCTGCTGTAGCACTGTCAGCTGCTGCTGCTGCTGCTGCTGCTGTAGCACTGTCAGCTGCTGCTGCTGCTGCTGTAGCACTGTCAGCTGCTGCTGCTGCTGTAGCACTGTCAGCTGCTGCTGCTGTAGCACCGTTGTTGGTGTGGCTTATTGAGAATACCAAGAAAAAATTAACCCCAGAGGGTTAGCCACCCAGGATAACCCAAAAAAGTGTGTCATCGAAGACTGTCTAACTTATTTCCATTGGGGTCCTTAATCTTGTCTCCCAGGATGCAACCCACACCAGTCGACTAACACCCATGTGAACAGGAAAAAACGCCTGGAACTAGTGCTCATATTGGTGAATTTAAAGCCAGCAAAGGTTGGTTTGAGAGATTTAAGAATCGCTGTTGCTGGATCAGTCAGCTGTTGCTAGATCAGTCAGCTGTTGCTGGAT